ACATGTTTCAAACATTTTATTTCCTACATGTATTGAGTCTGGTCGTGTTTTAAACTTTTTTTTTTAGCTGAGCCCTTCCTTCAAACAAAACTTTGCTTGGAAAGAAGCAATACAAGCATAGTTACTTATGAAAGAGTAAATACCTAGAACCCGGTATTTCTCCTGCAGTGGCTCCAAGGTAATGCTAAGGAAAAAATAGAACTTGACTGTATGGTAGGAAACCATTGCCTAACATTTAAAAAAAAAATGAAAAAAAAAAAAAAAAAACAAAAAAAACTACACACACAGTTCTAATCTAATTAATACTTACAGATAGAATATATGACGTGAAATCAGGATTTACTTTGTCTTTTCACTCCTTGAACGTTCAGCTAGTACAGTTTACTTCCTTTATGTGTTCCCTCATTTCTTTCTGTCTGTCTTCCTTCCTTCCTTCCTTCCTTCCTTCCTTCCTTCCTTCCTTCCTTTCTTTCTTTCTTTCTTTCTTTCTTTCTTTCTTTCTTTCTTTCTTTCTTTCTTTCTTTCTTTCTTTCTTTCTTTCTTTTTCTACTTTCCCTCCCTCCCTTCTTCCTTCCTTCCTTCCTTCCTTCCTTCCTTCCATCCCTCCATCTCTCCCTCTCTCTCTCTCTTTCTCTCTTTCTCTTTCTTTTCTTTTCTTTCTTTCTTTCATGGATTATTTCTCTGTTGCTTAGGCTGCAGTGCAATGGGTGTCATCTCAGCTCATTGCAGCCCCTGCCTCCTGGGTTCAAGCGATTCTCCTGTCTCACCTCCCAAGTAGTTGGAATTACAGGTGCACGCCACCATGCCTGGCTAATTTTTGTATTTTCAGTAGAGATGGGGTTTCACCACATTGGTCAGGCTGGTCTTGAACTCTTGACCTCAAGTGATCTGCCCACCTCGGCCTTCCAAAGTGCTGGGATTACAGGCGTGAGCCACTGTGCCCAGCCCCCTCATTTTTTCGTTTGAGGGCATTGCATTAGAGTGATTCTGCCTGCCCCTCAACCTTACTCACTTCTCCAGGGGGTACGTATCTGAAAGGTAGTTAGGAGAGAAGCGGAACATACTGGCTTTATCTTCTCACTCAGTTCCTATTTACTGCAGATCTGCATTCTGATGTATTCTCTGCAAATGCCACAAGGAAGATGGTCATGCAGGAGTTCTCTGTATTTTTTCAGGTTTGTATATGAGTAAGAAAGTTTAATTCTGGGGAGAATTTTTGGGATACTCATTTGGACCACACATCAAAGCCACATTCTTGAATTCATCTTTTATCAGTAACAAAAGTACTCAAAAGATATTTTGATTGTCATCTCTCAGCTTCTTGGGTATTCTCATCTGGTTTGCTATTCAGATGGAGATGAGAGAGCTATTATTATTAACCCTTAAAGTTCTAACTCATTTTAAAGAATAATTCTTCCCTGTTAAGCTATAATATTACTTTTATTAAATAATAAATCCATATGGCTTTAGGGTATTCTCTTCTGTGCCATTTATCTTGCTTCTAATTTCTTGTTACAATACTCACTAAAAGTTAATAATTAAAACATTGCGTCTAATGAACTTTAGAATAATTTTATCCAGTTCCAGGAAGTTATCTGGCATTTTAAGTTCAGTGATAGGCCTATCAATTCAGATAGCTAAAATGTTTCAATATTCAGTCTTATCAATTCAGAGATGTTACATCTTCATTTGTTTCAATAGGTTAGTTAAATTTTTAAACTTTTATTTATTAAAATATTCTACTTTTAGTGTTATTTTCTAAAAGCTTTTAATAATAAGAATTAGTATAGAATTTAATAAAGTTTTTGAGAGAGTAATTTTCTTTGAACTTTATTTTGTAATGCATAATCTTAATAGGTTTCTTAATATTTAATATCAAATCTTTATACATGTGGGTGAGCCCTTTTTAATTATGGCATATAATTCTTTTAATATTGCTGAATTATTTTTGATTCATGTTGGCTTAGGATTTAAGTCATGAGTTAATATTAACAGGATTTATATTTTGTGAGAAAAGAATATGCTTTTTGTATACCATATTCAGGTTTAATATGTAACAAAATTATTAAGTGACTTTTAATACTTTTGCTCTGGAACAGTTCACATAGTAAGTGGATTATCTAGGCTTTAAAAATTTCAAGAGTATTGCCATAAAATCATTTGACCCTTAAGGAAGATAGTTTTCTGATAATTTTTCCCTGGTCCAGTTTATTTTAGTATTATTGCGCAATCGTAGAATTCTGAGTTGATTTCCTGTGGTAGATGTTTTAGTACATTTTGTTAATTTAAATATTTTCAAATTTGGCATCATAAAATTGCTCAGAATATTATCTTTTTAATATTCTGACACCTATGATATTTTCTTGTAGCCACTTTTCATTTTTTATTTTATTGCTCTCTTTATTATGCCTTGCTTATTTTCTGCAGTGTTCCTGATAAATATTCATTAAACAGTTACTTCCTATTTGTTCTCATTTGAAGTAATGTATACCCTTTCTAGAAAATGTGATATACCACATTTCATTGATTGCTCTAAAAAGGTACATTTTATAAGTGATCTTTAGTATTTATATCTATACATACACATAGCTGTCAAGATAAAATACATCATTGGCAAAAGGGGACAGATTTGATGATTTTTGTAATTTGTCTTTTGTGTATAAAATAAATATTTTGAACTCAGAGTTAAATATTCTAAGTAAATTTTAAACTCTGAATTAGCAAAAATATCTTAATTGCTTTAAAGATTTCTTATTGTTGAATATTTACTTTGTTTTTAAACTCTACTATCATAACCATACTGCAAAAAACATACTTGTAATGAAATTCTTAATCATTTTCTTGAGAAAAATTCCTATTAGTAGGGTCGTTGGGTCAGAGGCTATGAAGCTTTAACAAACTATATATGTGTTTGTGTATCAAATAAATATAAATAAATATATACTTGATATAATCATGTATCATTTAATGATGAAAATATATTCTGTGAAATACGTTATTAGGCCATTTTGTCATTGTGTGAGTATTATAGAATTTAGATGCACAAACTTAGGTGATATAGCCTACTACCTAGGCTGTATGGTTTCACCCCTTGTTCCTAGCTACAAATTTTTATAGCATATTACTGTACTGAATACTGTTGGCAGCTGTTAGCATGATGGTTAACATGCTTTAACATGTAGAGATAGAAAAGGTATAGTAAAAATATGACATAAAAGATAAAAAACGGTAAACTTGTGAAGGGCACTTACTATGAACAGAACTTGCAGAACCTGAAAGTTACTCTGGGTAAGTCAATGTGAGTGAATGTGAAGGCCTAGGACAGTACTATACACTACTGAAGACTTTATAAATACTGTAAAGTATACTTAGGCAACATTAAACTTATAAAAAATATTTTTCTTTCTCTAATAATGAATTAGTGTTAGCTTACTGTAACTTTATGTTACAAACATTTAAATGTTTTACACTTTTGACTGTTGGTAAATAACACTTAGCTTAAAACACAAACACATTGTACAACTGTACTAAATATTTTCTTTCTATATGTCCTATTCTATAAGCTTTGTTGTATTTTACAATTTCTTATTTTTTTAACTTTATAAACTTTTTTCTTAAAAACTAAGATGCAAACATACACATTAGCCTAGGCCTACAGGGGGTCAGGATCATCAGTATCCTCATCTTCCACCTCCACGTCTTGCCCTGCTAGAAGACCACGCAATTACATGCATGGAGGTGTCATCCCTTATGTTAACAATTCCTACTTCAGGAATACCTCCTAAAGGATCTGCCTGAGGCTGTTTTACAGTTAACTATTTTTATAAGTAGAAGGAATACTGATAAAACAATGATAAAAGTAAAGTAAACACATAAACCACTAACAGTCTTTTATTATTATCAAATATTGTGTACTGTACACAATTGTGTATGTGATACTTTTATATGACTAGCAGTGAAGTTGTTTTGTTTGCACCAATGTCATTTCAATCACATGAGAATTGTATGGTGCTATGACATCGATAGGTGATAGAAATTTTTCAGATCCATAATAATCTTATGGAGTTACCACTGTATACAGTCCCTCATTGACTAAAACACCGTTTTGCAGTGCATGACTGTATACACATATACACATAAACATACATAGATATATATATATATATACAATTATACATGTATATATACACATACATATATATACACATACATTTTGTTATACATACAGATGTATAGCAAATATATACATGTGTAATTTTTTCTTCAAATTGTCCTCCATAAAGTTTTCAGTGATTTGTACTTTTAATAACAATGTGTAGAAATACATAATTTCCTGAATAATTTTCAAACTGGATATTATCACTTAAAAATAAATTTCCTTATTTCATATGGAAATATGGAATTTATCTTTGTATTATTAGAGAATTTAGATAGTCCTGTGTATATTTTGCATTAATTTTTATCTTTGATTTCATTGCCATCTTAGTAAATCCGTATTTTATATATAATATCTTTACATTCTTTTAAAATATAAGTCCACCTATTATAAGTAACTTTTACTGTATGGAGGAATTAGCTTCGAGGATCGGCTGAGTACTGTGCTTGGAAAAAAAAAATGTTTCGAACAGAATAAAAATGATCAATATACTATAATAATTGTATGTAACAATCCAGATTAAGATTGGTATACTTACTTATAGTTGATTGAAAACTCTCATAAATTTAGTCTGTGGTGATTAATTTTATAATAACTAATATCCATGGTGATTTGATTTATGTTATAGATTTATTCATTCCCATTATTTACTGAAAAGTCTTTTAACTCACTTGTAACAAACTGGATATTTGTGGTCTCTTCGAAATTTGTTTTCAGTTCTGTTTTTCTGTATTTGCCACTCAGATCTAGACTCTTCACTTATATTTGGTTAACTCTTCTGTTTTACATATTCTAATTTAATGGTTTATTAGTTTTCTTCTTATGTTTTCTCATTTTTCTCCTTAGTGGTAAATTGGGAGATCACGTTATGGGAAATGCTCTTGAATTGACATTTTAATCCAGGTATACATGCCGTTTTCTTCATATACATTAAGTAAACATGCTAACAAATATGTATATATGCATATACTCATACAAGGAGATATAAAGATTTGACTCTATTTTTATGCCTACAGGAAGATATCAGTTGAGAAGTAAACTCAGAAACTATGATGGGACAATGAATGGCTCAAAGCCTGCCAGAAGTTGGAATGGAATGTATCTAGAGCACAAGAGCCAAGTGTTTCTCTGTCTTCTCTCCAGAGAGAGTTTGAGAATTGGCTCCTGTGATTGCAGAGGCTGGTAAGTTGAGAATTTATAGGGCAGATTGGCAGGCTGGAGACCTAGGGAAAAGCTGGTGTTGCAACCAGAATCTGGATGCAGTCTGCTGGCAGAACTTCTCTTCTTCAAAGGAGGTCGTTCTTTCTCTTGAGGCCTTTGGCTGAGTGGGTAAGTCTCACCTATATTCTGGAGGGTAATCTGCTTTACTCAAAGTCTACTGATTTAAATAGTAATCTCATCTGAAAAAATATCTTCATGGCAGCATCCAGATGTGTTGGACCAAATATCTGGGTACGATGACCTATCTAAGTTGACACATAAAATTAATCATCACAATAATCTTAACTTTTTTCTTTGTAAACATTTTCTGAGAAAGAGGTAGGAAGTAGGGTCGAGTATTTGTTATCGAAACCATAAGGGAATGTTTAAAAGTGGTAGAGAAAAAGATTTCTGACCTATGCTGAGGTCCCAAGTAAGGTTGAAGGTTTTTCCTAAATTATAGTAATACAGAGTTTATAACTGTATTTTCAGGAATACCAAGAAATATAGAGTAGCAAATACCAATGATTAAAAAGCTGTGGGTCTGGGGAAATTATGAATAGCTGTGGGAGAAAGACAAATAGTGACAGAGTTAGGTGTGTTAGAAGTTAGTTATATTAAGACAAAGACTTGGGTAGATGCTCACCAATTTCATTTTCTCTTCTTAGACACAAAGGAAGTCTACAATTCTCAGCCATTCTTGGAATTAGCTAATGGTCATATAGCTGGGTTCTAGCCAATAAAACAGATGCAAGTAACATAATCCAGTTTTGGCATGGCTCTTAAAAATGTCTTTAGCAGGCCAGGCACTATGGCTCATGCCTGTAACCCCAGCACTTTGGGAGGCTGAGGAGGGCAGATCACCTGAGATCAGGAGTTCCAGACCAGCCTGGCAAACATGGTGAAACTCCATCTTTACTGAAAATATAAAAATTAGCTGGGCATGGTGGTGGGTGCCTGTAATCTCAGCTACTTGGGAGGCTCAGGTGGGAGAATCGCTTAAACCTGGGAGGCAGAGGTTGCAGTGAGCTGAGATTGCGCCATTGCACTCCAGCCTGGGCAATGAAGATAAAACTCCTTCTCAAAAAAAAATGTCTTCAGCAAAACTTTGACTTTCCATTTTCTTTTCTGCAAAGTACCAGAGGTTGTTTATTTAGAATGGGAGTCTTCTGCATTCTAGAATTACTGCCAAAGAGAGGTGATCAACCTACATTTGACTTTGAGTGGGGAAGAAAAAGCCTTTTATTGTATGAAGCCACCAAGATATTGGAATTGTCTAATATAGTAGCTAGCATATATATCACAGGGATCAAAGGATGAATGTGAAATCAAGAAGGGACTCATAATTGAGAGGAAAGAATAAGCTCTAGGCATGTGAGGTTTAAATGAGGAAGAAGAATAGGCTTTGAGGGAATAGGAGGCCTGGAGAATAGGTGTTTAATGTCAGACAGCAGTATATTGAAATGCCACACGTTGGCATTAGAGTGATTTCAAAGTCCGGCCATAGAATTGAATATTGGAGGGAAAGTCTAGTGAAGATTATTAGCATTGAGAAGGCCTTTGAAAAATAAATCATCCAGATAGAACCATGCAGGTTCCAATGTCAGTTTCCTGGTTTTGATAGTTATACTATGTTGATGCAAGGTGTTACCTATGTAGGGGAGGCTGTGTTGAGTGCACACAGGACCTCCCTGTACATTTCTTCATAGTTTTCTGTGAATCTGTAATTATTTCAGAATAAAATATTTTTTAAAATTACCATTTATTCACATTAAAATCGTCGTGTAATTTAGGAAAAAAACTTAGGAAGATACACACCTAATAATAGATTTTAGTTCTGAGAGGTGTGATAGATTGGCATGGGTGAGAGAAAAATGAATGCTTTTTACTTTATAAAATTGTACTCACAATATATGTCACTTTTGCAATTTCAAAATTAAAGGGTAATTTAAAATATGTATTTAAACCTATAATTATTTCCTAGTCAACTTCCCCATTGTTTTAATAATTAGTACTCTTTTGTTAGAAGCTTTCTGTATTCATCTATATTTTTAAATAGTTGTTTAAGCTTTAGGTTTTTTTTTTTTTTTAATCCTTTAACTAGTTAATTCATTGTATTTTTTTTCATTGTATGACATGAGGATTTTACCAAATTTAAAATCATTTAAAAATAGTTAACCGATGCTTTGGTATCATTTGATCTTCACATTTATTTTGATGGTGCATTTATTGTATATTAGGTTCTGATACATACTAGAGTTTGTTTTTGGCTAAACTGTTCTGTTTCTGTTTACATGGTTTTGATTACTGTAGATGTATGATTTTCCTGTGTTATGGAAAATTCTTTGTTATACATTATTTTTAGAATCTTCTTCTTGGGTGCTATAATCCATTTATCTTCCAGATTAAGTTAGGATCTCTTTTTTATTTTACTATAGTGGATTAAATTAAAATGATAATTTGTGGTGAATTTACTTCTGTCTTACTTAGGAACTTGGAATATCTATACAGTTTTTTAACACTACTTTTGTGTCTTTAAGTTATGTTTCACTTTTCTTTATATTATACTTTAAATTGTAAGGTTGCTCCTTAGTATTTTATGTTTTGGGCTATAATTATCAATGATGATCAGGATTTATTTTCTATTTTCTTTTTCTAAGCTGGCTATTGCTAACACGTAAAACTTTATTCTTATGGTCATATTTTTCTTCCAGTTATTTTGAAAGCTGGGTAATTTGTTGGATTCATGTTCATTGCTTTGTTTTGTTTTAATTCTCTGTTTTCAGTAGATATACAATGATTTTTAATGTAGGCAATGATGGCCACTCTTGTCACTGATTTCAGAGAGAATGTGTATAGTGTCCACAGTTGAGATTATTGCTGAATGTTGACTTTAGATGTTTCTTATCAGGTAGTTGCTATACTTCCCTTTTTTCTTTAAAAAAAATTAAGAATTGCTACTGAGTTTTTCCAAATGCCCTCAGGGCCAATTAACATGAGCCTGCCATTTCTTTCTATCAACCTATGTTGACAGAGTTACTTATTTTGTCTTTTTTTAAATTTTACTTTTAAGTAAGCTTTGAGTTATAATTTATGTATAATAAAATGAGTCATTTAAATAAAAACATCATTGATACATTTTAACAGATGTATGTCTCTGAAAAACACAGCTGCAATATATTTCCATCATCCCTAATAGATTCTTTATGCCCTCCGGCAGAAAATCTCTCCCTCTACTCCAGGCTCCAGTCAGTCACTGTTTTGCTTTTATCAGCATAGATTAATTTACCTTTTCTAGAATTTTATATACATGGAATCAAAGCAACTGTTGTCTCTAGTTTCTTAGCAGAATGAGCTTGAGATTTGTCTTAGTTCACTCATGCTGCTATAACAAAATAACTTATATTGGGTAATTTATAAACAACAGAAATTTATTTCTTACAGTTCTGGAGACGGGAAGTCCAAGATCAAGGCCTCAGCAGATCTGATGTCTGGTAAGGACTGGTTTTCTTCTTCAAAGATGGCACCTTGTTGCTGCATCTTCACATGGTGGAAGGGGTGAAAGCTTTCTTAAGGTTCTTTGCTAACAGCACTAATTTCATTCATGAAGGAAGAGCCCTCATGACCTAGTCACCTCCTAAAGGGCCCTCCTCTTAGCTCCTCACAGTGGGGATGACGTTTAATATGAATTTTAAAGGGTCACAGACATTCGGATCATAGCAAGATTGATTTGTGTTGTTTCATCTATCAGTATCCTATTCCATTTCCTTGCTGAGTAGTATTTCACAGTGGAGATATGGCACATATTTTGTTTCTTTACTCATTTGTTGATGGATATGTAGATTTTTTTCAAGTTTGTATCTATTATGAATAAAATTGCTGTAAGCATTCATATGCATGTCTTCTTGTTGGTACACTATTTCCTTTTGGTAAAAACCTATGAATATTCATAAGTGTATGTTTAACACTCAAATAAAGCCACACATTTTTTTCTGTTTAGTTTTACTATTTTACATTCCCATCAACAATATATGAAAATTCTAGTTACTCTACTTCCTCTCCAACAATTCATATTATAACATTTAAAATTTTAGCCTTATAATTGAAAGTATTGTGGTGTCATTATAGTTTTAATTTACATTTCCCTGATGAATGACTTTGAGCATCTTTTCATGTGGACACTAACAGATTTAACAAACCATCTTGACATTCTTAGGATATGCTCTCCTTGGTTGTGATGAATTTAATATGACCAACTTCTGAGAGTGTCACCCCAGATACTCTCAGAAGTTGGTCACAATAAATTCATCACAAACATTCCATTCATACCAAAAGGTATACAATATAGAATAATTATACACATACATCATAGCAACCATATAAAATATAGGTATTGATTTAAAATTATGTATTACTCTGTATTATTTACTTTTCTGTTATATACATGCAAGGCATGTAAATATAAATACATGCATATATTTAAAAAACAATAATAGGACTAGTTAATGGTTGAAATTAGTAATTAATAATAGGACTAATTAAACAAATGATATATACAACAAAAAGGTAATATTTTTGTAATGTTTCTGTTAGAGATTTTAACTTATTGGATATTCTACTTTTGTAAGTTGTGTTATTGCATATTGTTCTGTTCTTTTTTTTTTTTTTCTTTCGAGACGGAGTTTCACTCTTGTTACCCAGGCTGGAGTGCAATGGCGCGATCTCGGCTCACCGCAACCTCCGCCTCCTGGGTTCAGGCAATTCTCCTGCCTCAGCCTCCTGAGTAGCTGGGATTACAGGCACGCGCCACCACACCCAGCTAATTTTTTGTATTTTTGGTAGAGATGGGGTTTCACCATGTTGACCAGGATGGTCTGATTTCTCGACCTCGTGATCCACCCGCCTCGGCCTCCCAAAGTGCTGGGATTACAGGCTTGAGCCACCGCACCTGGCCGTTATTGTATATTCTTAAACTAAGTAAATAAAATACCTTTAAAAATTGAATGTAAATAAAATGGGATTAGCTAACCAAACATGTAAAATTTAATTAGATTAACAATGACATGTTTCTTTCTGTTCCAGGATATACCAGTAAGATGTTTTTGATATTTCTATTGTCTTTTCAATATTTCTCTGAAATACCAGCTGCTTTCCAGATACTCTTCTCTCTTTTATGTAGTGGTAGAACTCAATAAACCGAAATATAAAATTCATTTTGACTTGCGTCTCTGCTCCTTTAAGCCCACATTATGCTGTTTACTAGTGGCAGTTAAATGAAATGACATCACGCTAAATATTCTCTCAATAAAAGTGTTTTAGCATGGAATTCTTAGAATTTTAGTCTGTAGTAACAGCAAGTGTTTAGATTTGTAGAAGTTAGTTTCCACTTCTCTAAAAACATCCATTTTGTATCTTCAGATGTATTTTGGTAGCTGTTTGTTAATCAAGTTCCTTTCATCTGTAAATCCATCAGGTAGGCTCATCATGTCTAAAATTTCCATCATGTTTAGATACTCCAAAACACATTGGATATTATTATCGTAAGTTAAGCCTCTTTTTGTTGGGGGAAATAGCTATGAAGCATAGAAGTAATTTGAACTTGTGAAATTGAAGTTGGACTTCCTGTAAGTTACCATTTTAGTAAAGAAATAAGAAAGCCCTGTTTAACGTGGTTTCCCTTTTCTAGTGACTTTGTTTTTTTATTTCTGAAAGTCTTATTTTTAAAAAATGACCTTTTTTTTTTTCATTGTATGTGTTTTTGTTGCAACCTCCACATAACATTCAACATCTCAAATGCAGTCAGTACATGCTTTCTTAGGTTCCTTATGGTCTCTTCAAAGACCACCAAACAGTTTTGGAGAAACAGTTTATACATTTCTGTTTTCATGCTTTTATCCATTCTCATCCTCAATGCATTCACAAATTAGAGAAGGACACTCTTTTTGTCCTGTACTTTACAAATATGATTTTAGGGCATGACAACATTTTCACATCTATGGCAGGCAAAAATTATAGTCATTTTGTAGGCACATCTCTAGGGAGACTATCTCCTTCCATTTCTCTAAAGTAAAAAAAAAATCTTATTAAGTGTTTCTGCGCATTTTGAGGAAATTGAAAAGTGATCAACAACTTTCATTATGAAAAGGAAGCAAATCTCAATCCTCTGAAGCAGTGTTGTTTACAAGGTATGCCGAACCTTCAGCAAGATCTTTAATTTTCTTTGGTAGGAAGTTTATAAGTTGAATGGAATTTGCATATATATATGTATGCAAATATATATATACTGTCTGCTGAATATACAAGATGAGTATCTTGATCCGTTTTCTGTTGTATATAACAGAATACATACAAGTGGTGGTAATTTATTACCGACTTGTATGTATTCTGTTATATGCAACAGAAAACGGATCAAAAATAAATTTTATTTCTTATGGTTTTGGAGGCTGTGAAGTCCAAGGTCAGTGGGGTGTATCTGGTGAAGACATTCTTCCTGGTGGGGACTCTGTAGAGTCCTGAGGTGGCGCAAGCCATCACATAATGAGGGGGCTGAGTGGGCTAACATGCTAGTTTAAGTCCCTCTTCCTCTTCTTAAAAAGCCATGAGTTCTCCTTCCTTGATAACCCATCAGTCCATTAACTCATTCATCCATTAGTCCATTCATGTGGGTAAAGTTCTTATGATCCAATCACTGCTTGAAGTCCCCACTTGTTAATACTGTCATATGAGTAAATTTCAATGTGGGGACAAATATTCAAACCATATGAATGAGCAAAGTTTACTTTGTATTTAGACAGGATTCAACAATGTTTTATTTAGTATATTTTGTAGTTTCATTAAAATCTTTATAGAAATCAAGATGGGCCAGGCACAGTGGTTCACACCTTTAATCCCAGCACTTTGGGAGGCCAAGGCAGGTGGATCACTTGAGGTCAGGAGTTTGAGACCATCTTGGTCAACATGGTGAAACCCTGCCTCTACTAAAAATACAAAAATTAGTTGGATGTGATGGTACACATCTGTAATCCCAGCTACTTGGGAGGCTAAGGAAAGAGAATCACTTTAACCTGATAGGTGGAGGTAGCCCTGAGCCAAGATGTCACCACTGAATTCCAGCCTGGGTGACAGAGCAAGACTCCATCTCAAAAGAAAAAATAAAAGAATGAAAAAGAAAAGAAAAAAAAAAAGAAATCAAGATATGAAGCTCCATTTTTCAAATCCAAGTACCTAACAGCCAGGGGTAACATTTTGTTGTTCTTGTTGCTCTGATGTCTTATGTGATATACTATAGAAAGAAGAATGCTTGGTAAGAATCAGACCTGCACTGTCAGAGACAACACATCTGTTTTCCAAATTTCCTTTTTTGTTTGCCCAATAGGACATTTTAGTTACAACTTCTGAATGAGGAAATGCACTCACTCGGTTTTATATAGAGGAAGTGAAGGAATGGTAAGATAATGTATGCTGATGTATGTAGTATGCTGAAGCTAATTCAGTGGTCACTTTACAATATTCATAATTCTGAAAAATATGTAAATGAAGAACATCACCGCATGTTTGTAGCTGGCTACCTTGCTGTGATAACCATTTTGGATCCATATCCCTGGCATTTGGTTTGTGTGAACTGAGCTCCAGAGGAATCAGCCAGGGGTTACTCTCTTCCCAGATCACCACATGCCATCAGGTGTCCCAAAGAGTTTAAAAAGTGTTAGAACAATTAAATTGTTTGGGTGCATTCACTACTTAGGTTTTCTAACAAATGACGTTCTAATGTGATAATTCAGTTTTGTTCTGTTTTCATCTTTTTTTAACCTACTCCATAAGTCTTAGACTGAAAATTATGTAGCCTACAATGCAAATTATATTTTTAATACTTTGTGCATTCTTATATTAATTTCGAATATTTTAATGCTTTGTTATAAGGTCTTAAAGTCAATAAATGTCAGGTCTTAATATTTATCTTTCAATCAAACAGTGAATGTCTTTGTAATATAACTTTTTTAAAAATATATATTTTATTGCACTTTAGGTTCTGGGGTACATGTGCAAAACATGCAGGATTGTTGCATAGGTACATACATGGCAATGTGGTTTGTTGCCTCCATCCCGCTGTCACCTATATCTGGCATTTCTCCCCATGTTATTCCTCCCCAACTTCCCACCCATTGCTGTCCCTCTCCTAGCACCCCCCATTAGACCCCAGTGTTTTATGCTCCCCTCCCTGTGTCCATGTGTTCTCATTGTTCAACACCTGCCTATGAGTGAGAACATGCGGTGTTTGATTTTCTGTTCTTGTGTCAGTTTGCTGAGGATGATGGTTTCCAGATTGATTCATGCCCCTACAAAGGACACGAACTCATCATTTTTTATGGCTACATAGTACTCCATGGTGTATATGGACCACATTTTCCTTGTCCAGTCTATCATCCATGTGCATTTGGTTGGTTCCAGGTCTTTGTTATTATAAACTGTGTCACAATGAACATACATGTGCATGTCTTTATA